CTTTGCCTGTTTTGTCAGGCTTTGGAACATAATTCAGTGAAGAGTTGTTTCCTTTCTGGTGTATAGAAGAGTACTGAGACAAAAGGACCTGTTAAATTCTGCCGTCTTATGAAGGCAAAAAAATTTCAGTCCAAAAAGTTCATTTGGAATATGTGGAACCAGAGCAGGCTTTTATTTTGATATATTAGGTCAAGATATTTTCTAGACTCAGTCCCCTGCTCCTTTTCAGACTTTCTGTCCAGTAGCAATTCTGTAGTTGCTGATAAGTGTGTCAGCTCAGGAGCCCCACCAGGCTTATCAGTGCTTTCCACTTGCAAGTGCATCCACACAGCACAGTTTTTAAATGTTAAAATTAGGTCTTTGTCCTTCTATTAGTATCCCTGCATCGGAAGTAATCAAGAAGGACAAGTCTATGTGATGAATAATTATATAATCTGTCTTACATTTTAGGGTTTTAGCTATCAGTTCTCTCTCTCTCCCCACGACTCCACCTTCCTCCCTCTATCCCTTCCTTTTTTCCTTTCCATCTGGCCGTCTCTATTGTGTGTTTTTTCTATTGTGTTTTAATATTGCATTGTGAATATTTACATTTTACTTATTTAATGTATATTCATTTTGAATTTATTTAAAGTCTTACCAGCCTTACTTATGTAAGTACTTTTATATTTTTAATCAAGATATTTAAAGAGGTCATTTGAGTTAATGAAAGAACTTTTTCAATGTTAGCTGTTTGATTCTTATCTTCTTGCCCATTTCTTGCTAAGTAAAGATTTTCTTACTTTATGGATAAGAAATAAGCTGTGAATATTTCATTTCCAGTTACTTCTTAAATACAATATTAACTAGAATATCTTTCTTTCAGAATAGTATCACTCTTTTAAAAACATATTTATGTAGTTTGCACTTTCATGTTGTTTGAATGAAATAGATTTTAATTATGTCTAAGGTTTCTTTCTCTGTTCTCTCTCTCAAATTCCTTCATTGTCCACTATTCTGCCTCTCAATCTCTCATTATCACTGAGGGATAAAGTGCTCCATATCTAATTCTTTGCTTAATAGTACCATTAATAAAATTAAGTACATGAAATAAAATATAATACAATAGTTTTTCTATTCTTTAGATTGATGCCCAGTCTTGATTAGATTGTTAGTCCCATGAAATTCTGATATGATATGTGTCCATATCTGTGAACATGCATGTGCAGATATTTTTATTTTAACCTTTATTTTGTATAAGCTGTATTGAAACACTTGTTACCAGTCAAAAACATTATTAGTAAGAAACCTTGAAATCAACTCTGAAAGAAAAATTTATATTGTTTTTCAGAAGTCATAGGTAAGGACAGTGAGACACTAAAGAAGTATGTATGCTACGGAGATATAATATAAATCCCAGTTATTATGATGAGTTGTTTAGATTGTAGTCCTGGCAGAATTACAGTATGAAGGCTGGGGCATTGGCCCCACATGCTCTTACACCACCATGGGTCTGGGAAAGAGGCACAGGGGAACTGGGTCATTGTTAACTTTCTCAAGCAAATATTTCAATGATGCAAAAATGGGACATTCAAATCGGATTATGAAGATGAGATAATAACATAAAGACCTCAAATCATTGAAATTTTAGCTATACTGGAAAACTAGTAAATTGTCCTTGTTATCCTATAATACAAATACTCTTACTATTAGTCCAGAATAATTCCTCAAAATACTGAAATTATAATCAGACTTTACCCATGTAATTTGCACATCTATAAATAATACATATTAAACACACAATTTTACTTTGTCAATGAAGATACCTTAACAAAATACTAAGTCTAACATGCCAAGTACAAACACGTTATGAAATAAGAATTTTATATATTAGCTCCTTGTATTAGTTACTTTTTTCTTGTTGCCAAGACAAAATACCAGACACCCAAAGTTAGAGGGGAAGGGGTTTATTTGATTTATAGTTCATAGTTTTCAGTCAATAATTGGCTGGCTCCAAGGATAGGATGGCAAACAAGCATCACAGAGGAGAAACAGCATGGTGCACACAAGGTAGCAAAGGTAACAAGAGGGTTACCAGCATCTTTCTGCCCCTTTTATCTCATTCATGGTACTTAGGGTGGGTAGCACCCACACCCTTAATCTTTGATCAAGCTTATGACCACATAAGGTTTTTGGGGGACACCTAGACCTAAACCATAACACTACTTTACCCAGATATTTGAGAAGTGATAATGAATACTCTGGATATCAAAGGGTGAAGCTAAACTACTTGACTATTGACATCACTAATAAATTGAAGTAGTGTGCAAACAACTTATAATTTCCCAAACTAAAAATCTTAAACATGATAATACCATTAAATCGATGTATCTTTAATATACAGATAAAGTACCCTTCAAATCAGATTAACCTGATGAAGTCTATAAAGATGAATTATTCTGAATGAATGTGAGTGTTTAGGTAACTAAATGAATGTTTAGGCCATTCATTTCAACTTTACATAGCAAATACATGTAAGTAAACATATATGTTTAAATACATATAAGAATAAAATAGTTCAAGTGACAAATGTGGAGCCAGGCATAGTGGAGCACATCTATAGGCCCAGGACTCTGGGAGACTGAGGCATGAGAATTAAAAATTGGATCTCAGCCCAAGCAATTTAGAGGCTTAGGAAGACTACCACAAATTAAAAATAAAACTAAAAAGAGCTACGAATGTAGCTTAGAAAGAAAGCCCTATGTTTAATCCCCAGTATTAAAAAAAAGAGGTGAAAGGAGAAACTAAATGCAATAAAGAACTTATATTCAAAATGTAAAATATGTGTGTATATTTCTCC